GTAATTAATTAATTGGTGAATGAATAATTCAGCCAGAATTTCGGGTATAAGTTTGTAAATTCCCACATTTTTGTTGAATAAATTAAATTGATTGGCTTATGTGCCATTAATCAATTGATAAAAGGAAAATAATTTTCTTCATTGGTGGAATATCTCTGAATAATTTCTCTCCGTACAGATGATCTACGCAACGTGCGCTAATTGTCATGTGAAATCTAATTATCAGATACTCTCACCTACTCGGGAGGACAGCAATTGCGATGCATATGAGACGAGTTGTTACCTTCGACAAAGAAGAATTCTTCGAAATAATCAAAGGCACTCTAGATACATTTGTGTATAGGTACATGCGTGCAGATACATTCGATTTATCAATTGCACTCCTGCAATTTTTCCCCCTCCTTGGCGTACCTGACAATTATATAATCTTATATACACATCGTGGTGTTATATAATATTTATTTATTATACAATCTGAGGTACTCTCGTTTTTTAGCTGGACGTGCCTCACAGAGGCGTCGAAATCAATTAAATCATGATCATTACGTTGAGTTTTCAAGGGCTAATTAAATGGGCGGAGAGAAGCGAATTAATTGGACAAATTAGGGCGCAGGGGGTGAGTACACTGTTAGAACATTCCCTTTAAATAAAAATTAAATAATTATAAATTGAAAAAACAACAATATATTCAATAAAACCGAAATTTTTCCGTTTATTCAGAAGTCAAAAAAGAATTCGCAATTCATACATAATAATAATAATAATAACATTTCAATATGAAAACTCAATTTTTATGAATTTGTAATTTCAACGAAAATTGTTATAAATTTATTTAATTTAAACGGAATTGTTTTGGAAAAAAGAAAAATTGTAAATAAAAAAATCAGTGAATATTCAGATGAAAATGAATTTTCAAGAAGATTAAGAGTTTTTCCGAATAGTTCAACCAAAAATTAAAAGAAAAGTTGAGGATTGATGGATTTGTAATCAGTAATGAATAATAGAAAATGGCGAAAATTTCTAACAGTGCAACAAGAGAAATGATTAGTAGAATATAAAGATTCGTTCAACTCGCTCGAATTGACTGTCCTCGCATTATTCCGTAACACTTTAATGATATATTTATGCCTAAAGAGGCGATGATTGAGTGCAAAACAATGACAAAACAGAGTGATGACTTGTTACAGTAACAATTGGTCCTGACAACAAAACGATTGAACAAAATAATAAACAATGACGATAACTACGCATCAGTTTAATCGTTCTAGATACTGACAGAAAGATTTTCACTATATGCAGCTGCAAATATTGTTTTCATTTATAAATCGTACATGGTTTTCATAAAAAGATGAGCCAACGACAGTTAATCGAGTAATTTAAGTAATTGTTGGGGTAATTCTGGACTTAAATCTACTCTGAAGGTATTGGAGCGTTAATGCCGATAAATTCTGGAATAGATATCGATTTGTTATTGTTTTCTGGATTTCTTTGATCGTTTTATTACATCAATGTCAATGGTTATAAAGATTCCAATGATGAACTGGGAAACTTCATTTACATATATTGTCCATTTTAATTTATTTCTTTATATACTAGTGTATATTTTCCTCTGCAGAATTTCGTGCCGATTATTTATTACATTTCAGGGGATTTTTAGGAGAAGGCCGTTGCGATACCGAAATTATTTACAAATATATTGAGGGACAAATTATACGGAAATCAGTGGATGAGTTAATATTTTGGAATTTTAATGGAGAAACAAATTTTTCATTTATGTTCTACATGTTTAATACTCGCTCAACGAAATAAAATATGTACAATACAGGATAACTACATGCATGTGTGTATGTCAATATATCTAGAATATATGTCTGATGTTTCAATTCGTCTGTCACTTTTCATCGCAAATTTTTGTTTGTGCGGCTCTGTGAAGAAATTTTATAGAAAAATTTTGTCTAGAGAATTTTATTGATTTTCTCCTGGAACTCTAAAATATTATTGGAGTTCTATAAAGATTTCAATTTTCCATGGATTCGATTAAAAATTATGCAACGCCGTTCGACGGGTTTAAATAAACATTTGATTATTGAAAAAATGTTTGTTGATGTTCATTTTTATGGATAGTTTATTCGTTGAAATATTCTATGCAAGAATTTTCTATAGAAAAATATCAATCTGTTGGCATTTTTCTGTTTATGTTTTCAACAAATTATACGATAAAATTGCACATTGTTAATGTTATTAATTATTTGTATATTGGTTTAATTGGAATTCTAATAAGACTTGGAGATATTTTCTAGAGTTGCGAAGGAAATTCAATAAAATTTCGTAGAGAAAGCGAATTTTTCGTATGAATTTTTTCATTCGCGTTGTAATTTCGCGAATTTTATAAATCTGCAGAGATACCAACACTCTAGGCCTGTTGTTCAATTCACTCCGTATTCCCAGAGGGAAATTGTTTATAAAAAATTCAAGCGCTAACACGCGAATTATTCTCATGTTGATCTGAAATTTTTGCACGAATCTCCATCAATTTAACCAGAGAACTCTACAAATTTTAGCAAAAACAACGAGAACACGAAAATTCCTAATTCTCATTAAACAATGGATCTTATTTTTCCAGCAATAACACTGGAATTTTTATAAATAATGTCTCTCCGTGAATTTCAAATATTTTTATAACAGAAGTTGAGAAAATGGCGCATTGTAATTCCAAGGCTTTTAAAATAGATTTTTTTCCATCGACATGAATACGAGAATGTCATACGACTCCAGAACCTTCTGCTCGTTAGAAAATAAAAATGATTCCCCTTTCATTCAAAAAATGCCGAATTTTCATTCTTCAAACTAATAAACAGACATAAATAAATGAATTGTGAATGCAAAAAATACTAACGACGTGTCTACAATAAATAACTCAAAACGTCATTAGCATTTTCGTCTTTGAACAGCTCTCTACTTCGTTCCCTTATCGTTATTATCATTATTATAATTATTATGAATTATGATTATTATTTCAGCGTACGAAGACATTGTGGGACAGCACGTCACCAACGAAATTCAAACAATGACAATTGGCATGAGTATAACAATAAACTTTTACCACCAACGAATTACTAAATTCATTTCATTTTTTTATAAAATAACGTCAATGGGTACTAAATCTACACAAAATTATTGTTAATGTATCGAATTAACGATGATTAATCGGGGATATGCAGGTGAATGAAAATGTGAATCATTCTTCGCTCCAATACTAGATTTTTTGGAATTAAACAAATTCACCTAAAGAGATCAAATTTTATTTTGGGACTTCTGAGTTTTTACTTCATTCTTTCGAAGACATCAGCTCGAGTCTTCCCAGATTTCCAGATTAAATCCATGACTTAAATTGAGATTCTCCGAATTTTAAAATAACTTGAGGCTTATTAGCAATTTGAATTAATAAAAATCCCTAGCTAGAACTAACGAAAGTTTTGAATTGTCTGACGACTCAAATTCACTCGAGTTTTGAGCCTCAAGTGAAAACTTTCGAGAGTTATAATTCGAAACGTTAATAATTCATTTCCATAAGTCTCAACATAAATTTCCTTATCAACAAAAATCTCAAGTCAAGACTTTTTGAAGTTGAATCTTTCAAGACTCAAACCGATGCTCACAAAAGTGTCAAGTTAAATGCCTTGAGAATTTCAATTGAAGACCCTCGAGATGCCAAAATCAAATTTGTCTCTAGGTGTGCATGGAGATGCTGTGTGTGGTGTTGGTGTCATCGATGGATAATGAATCACCATTCAGCACAATAAAACTCATCTACAGAGAGAAGTATAGTATATATATGTGTATATACAAGACACTACACTTCGTCAGAGCCAGTTAAATTCTATAATAATGACGTCAGCATTATCTTTTTTTCTCTTTAAACGATGGAGTAATCATTCGATAGATAATATCCACTAGGTACCTCGTTCTCAGTTGTCATTCGGTAATTTTTATGTTGTTTTTAATCAGTTATATAGCTTTATTCAGCAGCTCCACGAAAAATTAAAAAGAGTCTAAACGTAGTTCGAAGTATTTCGCCTCTTGTTTTTAATGTTTAACGCTTTGGAAATTCATTTGAGAATAAAAGTAATAGGATTTTAAGGATTTGGACTCTTATTCGTTTGTTAGATTACCTCATGGGGGAGTGGTGTTATCTTAATCCTTCTTATCACCGTCCTCAGGATCCTTAAGGGTGTGCCATTGTGCGATGGGACGTCTTGGAGATGCCAGCATGTCAGACCAATGTCTCAATTCAGTTCCACTTGCATTGTAACCGAGGATGACTTTACCGATTGGTTCAGATGTCCCAATACGGTCATAATCAACGACTGTTACCATGAGATTTACTTTCTGCAAGTTCAATTTCACAATTAGGATTTTCATCGGGAGATTCTGTCGAGAATATTTTTAACCGGGTCAATAACTCCGGACACCAAGAATAAATCAAGAATCAATATCTCATTGATTAGTAAAAAAAAGAATATTTAAAGGATTAAAAAAATGAGATGTGTACCTGAATTTGTTCGAAGGGAACTTCAAACGAGAAGGATTCGTTGTAGTAAGGATTGAGTGTGCACTTCTTGATGGACGTCTTCTTCTTCTTCAATCGTTTTCCATTCTGCATCAGGGCAATCTTGACGTAAGGATCGGACAGACCTCCGACGTCCATTTTCTTGAGATTCTTCGCCTCGAGGATGACAACCGTGAGTTTTCCAGCTGTTGGAACGTACCGGAGTGAGAAGCAGATGTCACCCAACTTGTTGTCCTTGAGAAATAATTTAATAATTCAGTTTTACCCACAACAATTAGTCTTTCTTTTTACAATATTAAATCCAGATAACTCACCTGTCCACCCTCACCCTCAACACTCTGCAGCTCTCGCCATTCCTCGATTGTCTGTGCCAAATCGATCTGACAAAGTGGCACCTTGACTTCTCCGATTTGATCGTGCTTGGAGAATCTATCGAAATCGAAGATCGCGAATACCAGAGTCTTGTTCATAGCGTCAGCGTAAGGAACACCCTAAACCCAGAAGAACAGGAGTCAAATAAATTCCAGTGATGAATTTTACAACACTGTATATCTACCTTGAATGTAAAGGTCTCGTTGAACTCAGGATTGAGTGTCTTCCTGTGAACTTTCGTCTCAAACTTCTTCTTCTTGTCAGGCAAAAGATAAACCTTGACGTAAGGATCAGAAGTTCCTCCCATATCGAGTGCTGGAAGTTCTTCAGCCTTTATCACTGTCACAGCTAAACTGTTTGAATTGAAGTCGTATTCGAGCTGAAGAGATCAATGTGAGTCATTAAAGCAACGTAAAATTGACGTAGAGAATAAAAAAAAAACAACACCCATGTACCAAATAATAAAATGTAACAAATTCATGATCACAACATCAATGGTGTCAATGTCATTCCTGGAAAGAGTGCAGAGTAGGGAATGAAGAGAGTAATTTTTTATGGTTTTAAATGTATTGGCAAGACATTGGTAATTTGGCATGGGTCATTTCACCTTGTACTGGAGCTTTCCAAGCTTGACCTCGCTCTGTTTGCTCTCAGCTTCATCGGGCTCCTCAGCATTGTCTGTTAATTCCTCCATATCCGGCTGCACCTAGGTACATGAAAGTGGATTCCACGGGGGACAAATAGAGATTAATTGATCTAGGGACTAGCCAAACAAAAATGGAACATAATAATGAAGAACCTTGTCCTTGTATGTTCCACCCAGGAGCTGGACACTCTTCAGGTCTACTGCACCCTTCAGACCCTTTTTTCCATCCTTTGATCGACGCTTGCGGAAACATCTTCTTATACAGCAGAAACAAATACCCAGCACCACTGCACCCACAGCTGTCAAATTATTGTTAGGTTATTATTATAGAAAATGTCAGTTGAGTTATTGAATTTTTTAAACTGTATTTTTTCACATTTTTCAGGGTACCATGGAGGAGAAGGAAGTTAAGGTGTGGAGGTCACTGCATTGAGTTAATTACTTCATCTACAAATTATTAAATTACCTATGAAAATGGCGACTACTCCCCATGTTGGAATTCCTGTTGCTGCTGCTATCTCTTCACCGACATTCTCAAATTTTGTCGCAATATTCTTGACTGTTGATTCTGTTGGAGCCTCCGAAACACCCGCTGATTATAATTAGAAATTTTTTAATTACGGATTATCCATGTTTAATTGATTTCCCACAGCAAACAAATTGAAGGAAAATTATTGGAGTCACGGGCCAAAATTCAATTTGTCCACAATTTATGAAACAATTAATTTGATAATAATATTGTTTAGTTTATAATTTTTATATCAATATTATGTAATTTTTATTGAAGACAAATTAAACTTGAATTTAAATAGAATGGAATTGAATAATTTGTCGTGTGGTTTTTTGCTCTCCGGACTTTCAGGATGTGTCATCTAATGATAGGAAAATTAATTAATTTTTATCTGCTGATTACCAGTGACGGACTCCTCGCTGGTTGTTCCTGATTTAATTATTTCACTGGGTAATGTAGCGAGAACTTGAGAGCTGTTGAGAGTACGCGCCGCATTTTGACTTTCCGCTGTCAGCGGAATATCTCTTTTCACTGCCGGCATTATCTGGAGCAAAAAAAAAGGCGTTAATTACAATTCCAGCGATAATTTCATGGTCCATTATTATATGGAAAGCACTCGGTGGCTAAATGTTTATAATATTGTTTGTTGATTTAGTTTCCATTGAGTCTCTCCTTTCTCCCGCAATTATGATTGATTACTTAATTAATTTCCTTCCAACGACTTGATTTTATTGTTTGCAGTTAAACTGCAATGATTTATTGAAAATTGCTACCGAATAATCCACGAAATTTAATTTATTCTTAACAATTCATCCACTCGTAAATCGAAGGTATGATTTTTTATTTCACAAGACCACAGGAAGTGATCCGAAATTATTGTTCACTCATGGTATCGAAGCAATTGATCGAATTTCCATTGATCGAATTTTTTTATAGCACTGCAGAATGATTTATGGACCCGTCACTGAGATGATTGAAAAACTCATGTTAAAAAATCAACAATATACTAATAAATATTAATAATAACAACATAAATATAATAATCAATGATAATAAGACCATAATAATACAATATTTTCATCTATTTGTTCGTCAGATGTTAAAAAAAATTGACTTACTTATTTTACCTTGATTACTTTATTTATTTATTCCATTCCCTCCAACAATTTCCATTATTATTATATATTACTATAGGTTCCTCCAAAATTGAGTGATTATAACATTAAAAAAAATTAAAAAATTACTGATCTATTTAATTCTTAGTTAATTCTCGTTTTAATGAAGTAATTGAACTTTAAGTCGTTTTGATTTGAATCAGGAAGTCTTTACAATTAAATAATGTTAATATCAATTGTTTTTTAACTTTTTTTTAATGGCACGAATTGTGATTGTCATTGTTATTTTTTCTCGATTGTTGATTAGGATGTGGGGAGGGGGATACTTTTGGATTAGTTAATGCAATTGTTAATTGAATAGAAAAGTTTTGTCCGTGTCGTCGGACGGAACTTTGCGCACTCACTAAATTTACTGGCAAGTGGTCTGAGGAATAAAGAGAGAAAAAAATGTATTGACATGAACTTGAGGCGAGTACACAGTATTTAAACGGCCTTGGAGCCGCATATGCTGATTTCATAGGCTATTCAATGGAGCTGTAAATGTCGGCTCAACTATTTCTCTAGTATTTCTCTTGTTATTGGATAGATGGGAATATTTTCAAATGAATTATTCAAAAAAATTCTCGAAAATTCCATTTAAATCTCATCTGAATTTCAAATAATTCGAGATTCAATTCAATTTTAATTGAGAATTTTTTGGGTTCTCTGACACATTGTCAATATTAAAAGTCATATAAAATTGAATTTTCAATAGATTGAATTTTGATAAGTTATCGCTTGAATATTCTAGGAATTAATTAATTAATGTAATTGAGCATTTCAATAATTTGAAGTTGAATTCTATTTCAATTGAAAATCGAATGCAATTTAATTTTCACTACATCGAGGATTGAGAGAACTTTTTGCTTGAATATTGGAGAAATTAATGAATTAATTCCATCGAAGATTTCAATCATTCAAAGTTAAATCCAATTTCAATGGTAAATGCTCCCTATATTTATGACTCCTATTGAAAATTAAAAAAAAAATACTTTTCGCGTTAAATGCTTAGGAATTCTGAAGATTAAATACAATTCCATTTCGATAGATTAATAATTCAGGGAAATTTCGGTGTGAATTCTCAATGTTCATAATTTTTGTCAATTATCGATATCGATCGCAGCATCTGACATTTCCTCGGGTGTGACTTTTACGAACAATCCTAAAAATAATAACAGAGGGGGAAAAAGGTCGTTTGCAGGGAAGTAAATGGGATAAGATGGCAAAAATATCGGGCCGTCAAAGGAGATCTTCAAGTTTAAATAAAAATAGTGAAGGAAACCCGTGAAATACCCCCAATAAATTAACTGTGTATTCACTTTTCAAGAAATACTCAATCAACACATAATTACCAATAATTACCAATAATTACCAATTTAAAATAAATACTAATTTAAAATAAATACTAATTTAAATATATAAACGAATATAATTTAAAAATGTTTATTCCTATCAAAAAAGCTTGTGTTCGGACGCAAAAATGTTTATATAATAAAAACTAAATGAATAAATTTATTGTTTTTGACATGAAATATCAAGCGAAAATGCAAGACCTGAAAATGAATGAATGAAATGAATGACTCCAAAATTTTTTCACATGAAGTAAATGATGGAATATTTGCAAAATTCTTTAAACTATTGTATTTATGAAAAATGGCGATTCCGGGACACTTATTTTCCATCCCCTGACGGGATTCCCAGTCCTCCAATCCTCTTAGGGACTTATCTCGGGTTTTTTTCTTTCACCCATTCACATCCTAGTCCCACGCAATTTCCACTGTTCAATAATGTCATGGATGTACATGAAACTATTGGCTGCTGTCCATCGTCGCATTTAATGACTTCATTAAATTTATTCCTGCCTTTGTCCCCATGTGCCAAGAAGAAATTTTGTTTTTCCCAGAAACAATTGTTTGAATAATTACGCAACGAAATTATAATCATTGAAGATCTAATTAATATCCAGATATATCCAGATATTCTACAAATAATTCAATAATTAACAATTAAATAATCATTGAAGATCTATTAATTAATATCCAGATATTCTACAAATAATTCAATAATTAACAATTAAATAATCATTCAGTCGTAAATATTTCTAAATATACGAAACTATTATATTTTATTATCAGTGGTAATTAGTTATTGTTTATAATTTGTTATATTATTTGTTGTATTGTATTAATTAATTACTTTCGCGCGAGGGAATTAATTAATTGAATTCAATTGCGTGAATATTCGAGGGATCAATTGATTCGGAAAAAATTCTCAATGCGGTGCGTGTCTGACTGGATCGGGGGCTCCTCCACTTATCTACTCCATTCCTTCACAAAAAAATACTTCATTCATCTCTCACACCCATAAAAACACATACCCATGAGGTACGAAAGAAGAAAGAGAAAATCCATCGACTGGTGTACGTAATCTCGGATGATGCGTGCGCAAGCTCTCATGAATGGAGAAAAGGTTGCGAAATGCTATCTTGGGATATTATCACGGTATATATTGACGTCATGTCTGACGATTTCACTTGATGTCGATAATTTCTCGATAAAAGATGAACATTTCGATATAAAAATAATAAAAAATGCTCGAAAATGCCGAGATGAAAAGAATGAAAGATTCACTCGATCGGAAAATTCAGAAATATGAAATAAAAATGGCGAAATGTAAAATTCGGTCGAACGATATTTTATTTTCATTGCAAATTTGACATTTATATTATTTTTAAGATCTTTTTTTACCGTTCTTTGGTTTTTTAAGCTTCGGAAATTTCGAAAATTTTTAATTATTGAAGATTAAATTGTCTTTGGTGCTCCATTTTTTATGAATCAATTGAAGTTGAAGTTGACCTTCAGCTCAAGTAATTATCGGGTGTAAATAATTCGATGATTTTTCACAGCCCGGGAATTGAATAATTCCAGGACTAATTAACTTTTATCAGAAATGATTCGGTGGGTTTTTTTGATTGACTCATTAATCAGAAATTCTGTTAATTTTCAGTAACAAAATTTTGGAAAAATATTCCTCGAGACGAGCCATTCCCCAATTTTCCAAATTCAATTTCAATTCATTAACCACAATAATCACAATTGTCTTGAACAAATCAAATTATCATTTACCACATAATTATCTAAACATTCCCAATAATTCAACCAAAAAAAAAGTAAATAAATAAATAATTGGAAGATGACTACTTGCCCTTTCGTCAAGATTCTATAAACCCTAATCATAATTTTTTTAATCACTGTAATGTTTATAAATCGATTTCAATTAATCTTTGTAATAGTAATGATTGACTCGGAAATTCAGTGACTATTTTTAATTGAAATTGACTCTCAACTCGAGTAATTGAACCGTAAGGAGCTACCGGGGCTGCTATTTTAAAAAATTAGAGACAAATGAAATTGAAGTTTTTATCAATTGTTACGGGAAATTTTGATATTTTTTTATCGGATGGTGGACAAATGGGAGCACCAGGAAGCCACACCGGATTGGAAGAATGCTAGGATTTTGGGGGAGATGATTACAGCTGGCTATAGGGTATATTGACTGCCCTACATATCATGTCGGAAGGGTCTGCTAATATCCTTTCCCCTGTTCCACGAAAAAAAATCGATTCCAGTGCATACCAATGCCTCTAAGAATTTTCACGCGGTCACTCACCAAAAAACCAAAAATTATTCGATTAAAATTACAGGACTAATTCACTAATTGCGAAAGCTCCACACAAAATTTATTGCAATTTAAAATTTGGGATATAGTAATTTTTCACTTATTAATCACGGAAAAATGACCGTAAATAAGACAATATTTCTTGTCGTGAACCCATGGGTTGTAATTGCGATTATTAAATTATTGAAATTATCGAGATCATTAGAAAGATTTGAGGAAGTTCATTTGAAATAAATTAAATATAGAATTACAAGTTTTCAACTTTTTTTGTTTTAATATCCCAATTATATAATTGAAGTTTGCGGATTGTCTATAGGAAACGCGTAATTTCCGGTGCGATAATTTCTTGGTCTAGACGCATGGGAAATTGTATAGAAAAAATTATCGAAATGATTATTAAATTATTGGAATTATTTAAATTATTGAGATCGTTAGAAAGATGTGAGGATTTTCATTTGAAATAAATTAAATATAGAATTACAAGTTTTTAATTTTTATTTTGTTTTATGAGGAAATAATGGAGTGGAGGGAATTTTTCGAATTTTAATGGAAGAAATTATTTAGAATACGTGGAAATATCGAGTTTTTATAATTTTTTTCATAAATTTTCCATTGGGTATTTCGATAGAATCGACCAGAAATTCGTTTGTTTATTGAATTTTTATTTGTTTAAACAACCACCGGGACAATTAAATAGCATCGAAACTGTTGGTCTGAAGAGAATGAATGAGCAGATACATTGTTTATATAAAGTTTAATAAAAAAACTCATGAAATCCGAGACGACCTCAACTCCAAATTCCATCCCTGGATTAATCAATGCGATTCCTGAATTCCAAAACTATTCGTTAATTAACGATTTCGAGCCTCTCAAAAAAATATTTAACTAAATAAAAATTCTATAATGAATTGAATAGATTAACAATCTTTTTTCCAGTAGAATCACGCAATCGTATGCCCCATCCTGGGCCCCACAAAAATCGAAAAAAAAAATCATTTCTGCAAAATCAATTCTATTCTTCTAAATAAATTTTTATTACAAGTAAATTCCTGAGGATATTCGCTGTTGAAATATGAAAAATTCCGATAAACTATTGACTTCATCGAGAAAACTGACGGTAAAACCCCAGAGGAAAAATGGAGAGCATCTCCGGGAATAAAATCCCGAAAGAGTGAAAAACCGAAATAAAAAACTGAAAATGAAAAATGGAAAAAAGCTTACGTGCAAGCTCGAAGGACAGTCTCTCGAGCAATTCGGTGGAAGGTATTTTCCTCACTGTTGAAGCAATAATGTCCGACGACTGGTACGTAAAGTATGAAGGTATGACCCGTCGATCTACCCCACGTCACAGGAATAAATTAAAATTCCGTTGTTGCGGTTAATTAATTGAGTATTTCTATGAACGAACTGGTGATTCCTAGCACATTTTCGATACTAATTGATTGTATTAAGTTTGTATAGTCAACCGAGTTGAAGCACGAAAACTCCTTTTGCAGACTGGGTGAAGGGGTCAGAGGTGACGAGGGATGAGGGGGTGGCGTTGTCAGTGCGCCTGAGCTGAAAGACGGCGGACATTTTCGATGGAAAATGCCGAGAGGGAGAGGATCGATAACTTCCCGGTTTCTATATCGTTCGTCTATCTTGGTGACTCGCCAGAGGGCGAAAATACAGCCCTTATAGGGGATCCGGCACTCGACGGACGTCCAGCTTTTCCTAGGGGTGGGCCACCCTAAAAAAAAAAAATTTGTTATCTATTATGTACACATTATATACTTTAAATTCATCTATCAATATAATTTTTGTGTCATTATTATTATTTTATTCCTTTACTCCTATTTATTCATTTTTTTATTTGTTAATTTTTACTCAATCAATTTTAGCAGACAATATATTAGATTCGCATAACATGATTTCAATTATTTTAATTGTATTTATTTTATTATTATTATTATTATTATTATTATTATTATTATTATTATTATTATTATTATTATTATTATTATTATTATTATTATTATTATTATTA